CTCCCTCCCCTCCCTCCCCTCCCCTTCCCCTCCCTCCCTCCCTCCCTCCCTCCGCGTCTGTGCCGCGTCCGGTGCCCCCGAGTTCAACTCCACAGAACGCGCGGCAGTCCGGACCCGGTGCTACGGCCGGTGGCAGTGTGCCTCGTGTCGGCTCCCCGAGCCAACCGTGTGCAGCGTGTGTGTGTGTGCGTGTGGGCCCGTCCTCCATGCTAGGAGGCGTGTCACACTGACACTGACGGACTCGCCTCGGGCGGCGAAACAGCGGCGGACGGCGGAGATGTACGAGCGCACCTCGGGAGATATGGGGAGATGGGGGGAGATATGGGGAGATGGGGGGAGAGATGGGGAGACGTATGAGCGCACCTCCGCCGCCTCGGCGGCTGAGAGGTCGAGCGAGGATGCCTTGTGCGCCACCGGCACCAGCAGCGAGTGGTGCGGCACCAGCGGACCTATGAGTTGGGTCTGCCCTGCCTCCTCGCCTTGCTCTCGGTGCTGCTTCTTCGAGGCGCGGCACCAGCGGGCCTTTTGCGATCGTGAGGTAGTTAATTAATAGTTAATTTATCGTTGATTAATCGTTAATTAATCGTTCATTAGGATGCCTTTTGCGATCGTGAGGTAGGCCTCGTCGCCGACGCTCGTGACCTATGGACAGAGAGATGGACAGAGAGGCGTGAGAGGTGGTAGTAGAGGTGTGTGTGTGCGTGCGTGTGTGTGTGTGTGTGTGTGTCTGTGTGTGTGTCTGTGTGTGTGTGTGTGTGTGGCGGGAGAGGGAGAGAGAGAGAGACGAGAGAGAGAGAGAGAGAGAGAGAGAGAGAGGGAGACAGAGAGAGACAGAGAGAGACAGAGAGAGACAGAGACAGACAGAGAGAGAGAGACAGAGACAGAGACAGAGAGAGGAGAGAGAGACGAGAGAGAGACGAGAGAGCTTGACCAAATGCGACTCGAACTGCGTCGACGACGTGCAGAACCAACACTGCTCGGCGATCCAGCCGCGCCTAGAAGGTTCCTAGAAGGTTCCTAGAAGGTTCCTGCAGGACCAGCACTGCGCGGCGATCCAGCTGCGCCTTATGGGGAGATATGGGGAGATATGGGAGAGATGATGCAGAACCGACACTGCTCGGCGATCCCAGCCGCGCCCATCCTTCACCCACTCCTCGCGCAGCCGCTTGGCCGCGCGCTCGCCTCGCCTCTCCCCGCCGCCTCCTCCTCCGCCAGCGGTGAGGGCGGCGTAGGGGTACGGGCAGTCCGTGGTTCCCTCTGGCTGGGCTGGGACGGCGCCGCCGAGTGCCGCCTACGGCACCGCACTTGGTCCTTCTAGTGGGCTGATGTCGACTGCTCCGTGTGCCGTTGCGGGCTTGGACTACTGGGCGGAAGTCATTGGATGTACTATCTCCGCTGCCACATCTCCCCATATCTCCCCATATCTCCCCATATCTCAGAGGCTCGGGCTGGAGATGCTCCCCGTATCTCCCCATATCTCCCCACATCTCCCCACATCTCCCCACATCTCCCCACATCTCCCCACATCTCCCCACATCTCCCCACATCTCCCCATATCTCCCGCCTGCGGCACCATCCCGAAGGCCTTGAGCCAGGTCTGCTTCTTGTCCTCCTGGGCACGAGACGGGCACGTGGGGTGGGTTGGGGTACCGTGGGGGTAGGGGGTGGGTGGGGGTCCCGCGGGGGTAGGGGCACCTGGACACGAGACAGACCGACCATGCGGCAGGCGTGCGAGCGCGCGTCGAGGCGGTACGGGGGCCGCTGCCAGAAGGCGCCCTCGCCGCCGCAAAAGTGGTAGCGCGGGCGGAGCTTGACGGCGAGCTCCGCCACCTCCTCGAGGCCGACCTGCGAAAAAAAGAAAAAAGGCGAAGCTCGGCCATGGAGTGTCTTGTCTTGTGGTTCTGTGTGTCGCTCCTGTGTGACCCCGTCACCTCCCGTCCCGCGTCCACCCATACCGCGTTGGTGTCCCAGTAGTTGGTCGGGCTGTGCTTCGCCTTCCCATCTATCTATCATGGTTAGCGACTCGTGGTTGATGTGTGTGCATAGCGGGCCTCGGGCAGGTCCTCGCCCGGCAGGAGGTGGTGTTGGGTGAGTGTGCATTGCGTGGCGTTGCGTAGAGGTAGGGTAGTGTGGCGAAGCGTAGCGGGCCTCGGGCAGGTCCTTGTCTGGCAGCAGGTCCGCCGGCAGCGAGGACGGGTCGAGCTTGAGGTAAAAGCCGCGCGGCCACGCGCAGGTGAGCAGCACGTCGACGCCGCCGAAGCCCGCGCCGCCCGCCGCCGCGCGCAGCTCGCCGACCGCCGCCGGGTCGACGCTGCAGCCGCCGCCGCCGCCAGAGAGGTACGCAACGCGCAGCCCCGACAGCTCGGCGACGCCCGCGCTGCCGAGGTAGAAGAGCTGCGGCGCGAGCTCGCCGCCGGGACCGGCCGCCGCGAGCGCAGGGTCGGGCTCGCCCGGCCGCGACGCGAGCACGTACGTCGGCAGCGGCACAGCCGCATCGCCTGACAGGTAAGGCGCGAGCGCGGCGGCCGAGGCGTCGGCGGCGCCGAGGAAGTCGCCGACGCAGAGCAGGAAGGCGAACGGGCCGTGCTTCGCGTTGACGGCACCGACGCGGGCGAACAGGCGCGCGAGGTCGCCGCCCGTGTCGCCGGCGACGAGGAAGCGGGTAGTGGCTGCCATCGTCAAAAAAAAAGGCCTGCGGCCACGGGGTAAAGAGGGAAAATTTTGTTTCGCTCCTTTCCTCGGGCTGTTCCATCTTCTCGTCTTTTCCCACCTAGGCGGGGCGGGGGCCGGGGGGGGGCGGCGGGCGCGGGTGCCGGGTGCGGTGTGCGGTGCGTGCAATCGTGTGTTTGGCGTCATGTTGTGTGTGCCTTCGCTTGTTAACAACGAAGTCTAGCTCAAAAAAAAGTGGAGAAATTTTACATCAACGCACAACCCGGGCCCCGAAATCGCACCGGTGACAGTCAGACATGCAACACACGGAAATTTAGGAAATTTTTCCTCAACAAGAAAACTCCCTCGCACGAAAATGGGAACAGGACTGGCGCGCACTACCGAATCAACCTTCTTTCTTTTCTCGACGGCTAGGATTGAGAGCAGCCTCGCTCTCAATCCTTAGAAGTCGAAGGGTTGTGAGCAGCAGTCCTCGCAATCGTAGCATCTCTGTGCGAGTGTGAGCGCCTATGGCTATCGCTCGCAATCCTATATCTTCTAGGTATGTGTGAAATGCTGGCGCTCCCAATCGCTCCAGCCGCGAGCGCATTTGAGCGCGCCGGGACGAGGGTCTCCTCACAATCCATTGGGATCATTTCATCTCACGACCTAGACCGGACGCGGAACCATCCACATCATCACTGGCTCGCGGCAGTAAGGGCACTCTCGCATCAGCTCAGAGCATGGCCCGCAAGCACACAAGTGCCCGCACGGAACCGCAGCATGCGACTTGACTCTCGCGAAACACACGATGCATGTGGTGTCTCCCCCCATCGTGGACTCGGGGGCAGCTGGCCGCCCCGTGTCGAGGCTGGCGTCCGCTAGTGAGACGGCAGCGAGCGGCTCGGTGACTGGCAGATACTGCTCCGCCTCTGCCGCCTCTGGCTCGATCAAGCGCTCGATAGCGCTGACCCGCTCCTCGAGGCTACCCTCGGTCGCCGCGCCGAGGCTCGCCTCCAGCCGATCGACACGCCGATGCAAGTCCCCGCCGCCGCCGGTCGACTCGCTGCTCACCGCCTCCTCGCACCGCGACACCCGACGCGCCATCGCCTCCTCCTCCGCATCCACCTCTGACCGACGCAGCGCCTCTGCAAGCTCCGCAGCCTCTCGCAGCGCTGCCCGCTCCGCCACACCCGCTCGCTCTGCCGCCTCGCGCTCCGCCCGCCTCGCCGCCTCCTGCTCAGCAGCCAGCCGCTCCGCCTTCGCCTCCTGCTCACGAAGCTCTGCCGCAGCCTTCGCTCTCCGCTCCTCCTCGAGCTTGAAGGCAGGCGGCGCCTTCTTGGCCTCCTTGTTCTTCGCCTTGCCCTCCTTCCTAACCGCTTTCTTCTCGGCCGCCTTCGCCAGCCGCTTCGCCTTCTCCTCCTCCGCCCTCCTGACCGCAGCCTCCTTCTTGCGCCGCTCCGCCTCTGCCCGAATAGCTTTGCGCTCCGCCGCCGCCGCCCGCTGCTCCGCGAGCTGCGCCTCCTCTGCTGCTCGCCTCTCCGCCTCCCTCGCCCGCAGCGTCTCCTCTGTTGCCGCGCGCTCGGCGGCGAGCTTCGCCTCCGCCTCCGCCGCGATGGCTCGCCTCTGCTCCTCCAGCGCCGCCGCAGCCGCCGCCCAGCGCGCCTCGTCCGCCGCCCGCTCTGCTTTGCGCTGCCGTGCCGTATGCTCGCGCTCTCGCGACGCCGCCGCCTCCTCTCGCTTGCGCTGCTCGCGCCGCCTCTTGGCTTCAAGCGCCTTCTCCGCCGCCTTTTCTGCTGCCTGGGCCTCCCTCACAGCCGCTGCGTGCTCTGTGAGAGCGCGCATGCACCCGGCGTGGTCCATCGTAGAAGCAGTGGCGTCGACAGTAGCCAGCTTGCCCTCCTCCTCCTTGGCGATCTGCAGCGCCGTCATGCCGGCCGCAGAGCGCGACTTCATGTCTGCGCCAGCCTGCAGCAGGCAGAGCACGACGGGGAGGTGGCCGTTGTAGGCGGCGGTCATCAGCGCGGTGCCGCCTTTGCTGTCCTGCGTGTTGACTTGAGCGCCGTGCCGCAGCAGCAAGTCGACCACCCGCTCGTGGCCGTCTGATGCGGCGCACACCAGCGCGGTGCCGCCGCTGTTGTTTTGCTTGTTGACCTCAGCGCCGTGCTGAATCAGCAGCTCGACCATCCGCTCGTGGCCTTTGAGAGCGGCGCCCATCAGCGCGGTGAGGCCGCCGCTGTTCTGCAGGTTGATCTCCGCGCCGTGCCGCAGCAGCAGCTCGACCACCCGCTCGTGGCCTCTGTGGGCGGTGCACATCAGCGCGGTCCAGCCGCTGCTATCCTGCAGGTTGACCTCAGCGTCGTGCTGCAGCAGCAAGGCGACCACTCGTTCGTGGCCACTTGAGGATGCGACCATCAGCAGCGTTACGCCAGTAGTCACATCTCCATCCTTGGAACGTGCCTGATGTGTAGCATTTGCTCGCCCGCCACCCTCGAGACACGAACGCACCGTCAATTCGTCGCCACGCTGGACCGCCTCAAAGCACGCAGTCTCGAGGCCAATGCACTTCACGAGGGCATGCTTGGACCATGCTTGGACCAGAAGCTCGCTGGAAGGCATGATCTCCGCCGGGCGGGGGGTCGCAGAGACAGCGATGCTCGTCCCATTTTACGTCCAAACAAAAGACACACAGAAGGTTTGGTCGCACACGCACGATTCCGCCAAACAAACAACAAAAGAATTAACACAACTCTCTCTCACACACACACAGCAAAAGAAAAAGAAAACGCCCTCGTGTTCCAGTATGCAGTAACCGCCACCCCATGCATTTCCGGACATACATGCACAACATGCACATGGCAGCTCTTCCGCGCCTCCCGGCACCGCGTCTCGCCCACCTCACTCGACCATCTCCACCCCGTCACCACCCTTTTCTCGGATCATCGCCAGGCCCTTCTCGTGCGCCGCCGCGTTCGCGGCGCGGCAGCCGCCCATCAGGCAGCGCGTGCGGTAGCCGAGCGTCGCCGCGTGCAGCAGCGACGACGCCACGCAGCGGTTGGTGACCACGCCCACGAAGCTCAGCTGCGTGCCCTCCGCTGGCCCATAGCCGCGCGCGCTCAGCTGCTGCAGCAGGGTCTGCGCGTCCGCACGCGGCAGCCCGTCGTCGTCCACGTCCACGTCGTCGAGCCACGCGGCGCCTCCGGTGCGCTCCGACGCCTCGCGGTCCTCGTCGAAGGCGTCGTCCACCTGCTTACGGAGATAGAGGGCCGGCGTGCCGTTGGCCGTGCCTTCTTTGCCGTTGGCGCTGGTCACGTCAGGCAGCTTCTCGCGGATGCGCCGCGAGATGTCGACGCCCGGGCAGCCGGCGGCAATGGTCAGGTATTTATCGTAGCCGACCAGCGCCACCGGCTTCGTCGGGTCGCTCCACGGCGTCTTATCGAGCGGAAACACACCCAGCTCCTCCGCGCCGCTTCGCTCGAGGTAGTCGGTGGTAAACACGATCAGCTCGTACTCGCCGCTTTGAATCTCGGTCACGGCGCGCGCTGCGACCGTGTCCATCGCCTCGCCGGGCAGGCCTTTGTTCCAGCCCTTGTTGTAGCTGATCTTGGGCTCGCTGCCCGGCTCATAGGCTGTAATGAGCGCGCGTGAGCCTAGCTCGTACGACGCCTTGACCGCATGCTCGTCCTGGATGAAGCCCAGCGAGCCGCCCACATCCGCAGGGAGCGACGCAATGAACTCGGAGTCGTACCCATCTTGCACGTCGATGACGACGAGCACGCGCTTAATCGATCTCGCATCGTTTTGCGAGCTCGCCTCGTTCTTCGCGCTCTGTTGCTGCGCAGCGCACGTCCGGCAAAAGTTCTTGCGCAAGATCCCGAGTCCTTTTTTGCCGAGCGCAGCCTGCTTTTGCGGCTCGTCGTCGTCGTCTAGATCACCATCGTCTACTTGCGCGACATCCGTGGTGGTCGTGAGCTCTGCCTTACCGACGCTTGCGCTTTTCACCTGACCCTGCGCGACGGGCGGCGAGCCGGTGCCCGACTGCGGTTGAGCGCCGTCATCGGCTGGCTGCTTGCTCCCAACACAACCCATCCCGCCGTCTCGAGGTGTGAAGAACGCCGTTCACACGTTGTGCTACGAACAGGCGGCGACGTCCACTCACAGACGGCTATTTTGCGCTGCAGCGTGTGCCTGCGGTTATTAGACGCGAAAAAAAGAAATGCCGGAAAAGCTATGGCGAGCCAAAAACAACTTTTCGATATGCCTCGAGGCGCGGATTCACCAGACGCCGCTCAACCTCAAGCGTCAAGGGACGTGATTCGCGTGTGCTGCATTGCACGCTCGGCGCTACTACGCCGATGTACACTTTTTTGTCACACTCAGGGCCCGTTTTGCATGACCTGGCTCTACAAGCTGACTACACGTGGGCGGGCGGCGCCCTCACTTCTTGTACGTGAAGCCCTGCCCCGTCCGCAGCGCCATGGCGTTGTCCGGCTGGTCCTCGTCCTCCTCGCACGCGGAAGAGTCGATCTCACACGGGTCGAACGACTTGTATGTCTTGGCCATCGCCGCGTTCCGGTACTCGGCCTTCATGCCCGCGAAGCGGAACGGCCGCGGCGAGCGCGCCTGCACCGCCGACACCCATTTGACTGCGACGGGTTGGCCCTTTGGCAGCCGCGTCTCGAGCGTCGCGAAGGGCGTCTTCTGCGAGGGATCGAGGGAGGTGGCGGCGGGCGAGTAGCCCTCCGCGTCGAATAGCGCACCAAACACGTCCGCTGCGTTCACCTCCCGCTTGCCCTGGTTCAGCGCGGTCGCCGACACCTCGATGCACTGCCACGGCCCTCCTTTGGGCGGGATGAACATGCCCTTTGGGCAGGCGTCGAGTTCCTTGTACGACGGGTCGGTGATGAGCACCTCCACGCCACTTCCCCGCAGCGACACGGGCGCGTTCGCACTGAGCGCGCCTCCCTGCCCCAGGCCCGCGCGCACCTCGTCGTCCAGCGTCCCGCTCGGCGCGATTGCGCTGGAGCCCAGCGGGGCGCACGCGAGGGCTGCAGCGTTCGCGAGGACGGCGCGGCGGCCGCTGCTCGGCGGTGCGAGCGCCAGGCAAGCAGCGAGCATTGCCGCGAAGCAGTTTCGCGGAAAGCACCGCAAAGCCAAAAAGTATTATACGCACAAACTCCCTCGCGCAACACTGGGCACGGGACTGGCGCGCACTGGCACTAACACAGGTACACCACGGGAGCCGCCTAAGCGACTCCTGCGAGGGCGGCGAGGCACTTAGCTCCGTGCACCCGCCCGCCCCCGCCACGGGCAAGCTCATTCACAATCTGCTCTGCGATGGCCGTGTGAAGAACGACTGAGATGCGCTGCTTCTGCAGCCCCAGCCAGCTCTTGGTGGTCCAAGTCACCTCATCGAGGTACTGGGCCCGCGTCAGCTTGTTCTGCAGCGTGAAAGCCAAAAAGTAAACAGAAAAAAAGAGGCCTCGGTGACGGCCACCTGCGTCCTCTGCAACTGGTCCTGGGGCGCCCGGCGCTGAGATACACTCAAGATACACTCGAAGATACACTTCGAAGATACACCGGTGGGATGTTATAAAGGTGTATCTTTGAAATGTATAGTCAAGTGTATCTTTGGCTATCACTCGAACTTTGGACAAGGGAATGGCCCAAAGAGGGGGGCGTGCCGGTCCTTGGCCTTGGCCTGAGACCGCTGGGACGCTCTCCGGCCTAGGCCTGAGACCGCTGGGACGCTTCCAACCCGTTGTGCTCTTAGTTTAAGCATAAGCTGTGCCGGCCGTGCGCCGTGTGGGCGCTCCATAGTCTGAGGGTTAGGTTTCTGGAGCCTCGGGTGCTTTTACTTTTGATTGGGTCAGGGGAGAGTGCGACTTTACCACTTTGATCGTCTCGGAGCGCCTAACTTTTAGCATTTCGTCTCAAAATTTTCTTCGGCGCTCCCGGCCGGAGGCTCCGCGCGCCGGAGGTGCAGTAAAAGTAGTAGCTATCGTCCCCGCAAAGTAGGTCCCGCACACTATGGCTAGAAAAATGCTGTGCTGCTCGCCTCGAAAGCGCCCGCCGTGTGTCCAAACATGTAGCGCTACTCCGCTACAAGTTTGTCAGGCCCTCTCAGGCAACAAGGCACATGGCTCTTGGCTGCGCCGCCGGCTGCACGCCGCTCTATTAGTGAGCGAGTATTTGGAGAGAGCGCCGACGGAGTAGAATGTCCAAAAATTTCGCAACCGCGCGACTTTTACCATTTTGCCCCGGGCGGGCCCACTTTGATCGTTTTGCCCCAGGAAATCTACGCCTATAGGCGCGTGCTTTTAGGCATTTTGACCCAAATCGGCCGAACTTTTAGGATACCCTCAGACTACGGGGCCGTCGTGGGGCGCACCTTTTTTCCGGGGGACCGGGTGTGGTCTGTCTCTGTGCACTGTGGACCCAGCTAGTGAGACCGATGCGGGGTTGCCCCCCCCCCCCCCCCCCCCCCGCGCCCCCCCCCCGCCCCTCGCCCCTGCCCCACCACTTTTTGTCGTTTGTGCGGGGTGTGGCGGCTGTGGGGCTAGCCTGCTGGAGAAATTTACATGTACCTTATCAACCTCTCCGAAGCCCCGAGGCAGGACTTTAGCTCTTCCGCTCTCCGCCCTCGGCCCATGCCTCTGCCTCGTCGAGCAGCCGCCCGAGCGTGTGCTTGCCCCTGTACTCGTCGAGCAGCGAATGGGCCGCCTGCAAAGCCAGACATCGGTGAGCGCACACAAAAGGAAACTACAGTGCCGAGCGGCGAGAGGGCTGCCTCGTTGCCCAAACCCGCCCCGTCCGCGGCCGCGCGCCGAAACGTGGCGTAGAACTGCACGCGCCGCTCCGGCGACGAGTTTGGCCCGCCGCAATGCAGCACGCGGCCGTCGTACAGCGCGGCCTCTCCAGCGTCCAGCAGGCCGCACGCGGCAGAGTCCGCGGAGGCCGCGACGTACCCGGGCCCCTCCTGCAAGAGAAGAGAGCAGGTGCGCCGTAGCGAGGACGGACGCGACGGACGCGGCGGCGGCGAGGCTGTGCCCGGCACGCGCCTCGTCGAAGGCGTCGTATGAACAAGGAAGTGTCTGGGAAGTGTCTAGGGAGTGTCTAGGCAAACGCCTCGTCGAAGGCGTCGTGCGCAGCGAGGCTCTGGCTGCCGAGCCTGTCAAACAGTGGTACGAAGGTGGTACACGTCCTAGCACGGACGACGGGGCTCACGCGCCACTCGCGGAGCACACACGGGGGCATTGCACACGATGGCGGCGTGTGCGTTCTCAGCGAGAGGCGTCTCCACACAGACGAACGTGCGATTGTCAGAGGGGCGGCGGTGGGCGTCCAACCAAGGCGTGGTGCGCGGCGAGGCTGTGGCTGCCGAGCCTCCTACCCGCGCAGCCTGTCTTGCTACTGGTGTGGCAGCTAGCCGGAGAGGTGGAGATAGTCGGAGATACACCGGGGAAGGGAGGGAGGGGGGGGGAAGAGGAGTGTGTCCGCATCTATGCCGCCGAGCAGGAAGCGCGTCGGGCCCATCTCGCGAGTCACGTGCTGCAGCGCCACCGCCGTGCTGAAGAGGACCCCCTCCTGCGAGATATGGGGAGATCTGGGGAGATATG